TTGGAAAATATTATTTTCCAAGTTGTAGTGGGGGAACGATTTCACTCCATCACTCCATCACTTCCCGTAAGACATTTGGAACCGGGGGGGGGGGGGGACTACCAAATGAGAAGGCAAGGGATGCTCGTCGGAAAATATGAATTTAACTCCCAAAGGAGACTAATGTGGACGTTGCTTTAGCTTCATTAGACCCCTAAAAGATACCGCTTAAAACGGAAAAGGTTCGATCATTAGCCACTGTTCAGGAAAGGATCCCGTAGGCACTTGTAGACCCGACTCTCGTTCTCGAGAGTTCCAAAGCAATCGATATAAACGAATGATTAAAGGCTCCAGACGATTTTTTGACACAAGAAACGAAAAGACAAACGCTACCTTTCGGTAAATGGTTTCTTGACAGAAAAAGAAGAAACACTGAAGAAGAAAAGGAAAACTAATGAGAAGTCACCACTAGGATTCGAACTTCCAATGTCTCGCCTGGCTAGTCAGCGCTTTGGGCTTATGTTATTATGCACGCGCTCTTGCATCATTTCCCCTCTTCCTGAAAGGGTGTCTAATGCCTTAGTCGGATTACTGACGCTCAGGTTATCATCATTGAGGTTGGTTTTCTTCTGCAACTTTTTGTTTCTCCTTAATTGTGTGCCTTTATCCCTAATGTTTTACTCTGTTTTACTACTCGAGGACTGGTAGATATTTTATTTACACCCTCCTTACAGTTTTAGCCCTTTGTTTCAAATTTTGGGTGGTTAAGATTTGCTAGTTTAAGTTTTGGATTTCGCTTTTGAGTGTTGGCAATTGTTTCGGGTCTTTACTCAAACGTTCAACTTTTGGGCGCGGAGCATTTCTCCATTTCTTATTCAGCGAGCGTGAAAGGGACTGTCGCGAAAAGCATGCTATTCGCACCAGTCCCTTAATAAGCGAGTATAAATAAGAACTCTGCATCTCATTTCAGCCCAGTTCGCTTAAGAGTCCTTTGGCTGTTGGCATCCGCAACATGTTCTCTCTCTTTCCCGCTTGCTTCTCCACGCTACCGCGCTTCTCGTTTTCCGTCCCTCCCATTCCCTATCCTTTTACACTTCCAACTCACTCAAGCGCGGTCGCATTTCTCCATCTCTTATTCAGCAAGCGTGAAAGGGGCTGTCGCAAACAGCTGTTCACAGGTAATCTGGCTCGATTCCCTGTGGATTTTGTGGCTTGATTTTACTCATTCTATTGTGCCAGACGCTTGTGTGATAAGCTTCTGGTTGCCCACGCCGACAGGGGTTCATCAAATCCATTTAGTGGACAAATAAAGATCGACTAACTTTTGCTTAGTGGCAGCAAAAATAAACCTTGTGGTTTTTATGTTTGCCAGAAGGGACTGTGTTTGCATCCTGCACAAAAGAAAATTATTTAGTTTCATAAAGATTATTTCCATTTACTGCTTTTAATCGCAAAATTGAATGTTTTATTTTTAAGAGCGACTTCAACCAATAAAACGTTTTTGTGCTTTTTTGTGGTACAAAGGTCCCTGGTAAATAAAAAGGTGTTTTTAGTATTTGATTAGCTCAGAAAGAAACTGGACTTAACATGAAAACGAGTGTAAGGCGGGTGTTGGGAGGGGGAGGTTACAAAGGCTTAAAACGGATCAAATACTGCTGCGAATACGTTTTTGTATCCACAAAGTAAACTTGTTTTTCCCTCCAAACACACAAACAAAATATACCGTTTTGTAAAGATACCTTTGTTTGCAGTGCTGTGTTTAAATAAAACTTTTATTTTCCCAAAAGATATGAAGCAATTTTATTATGTTAGTTTACATGGTTTCATGGTCCCCGAAACAAAGGGTGCACAAAATCAATAAAAACTGCTCCCATAACCCACTAGGGAAAGAATTATTTGAATTTTGACAATACAATCTTACCGAGCTCATTTACAACATGTAACCAAGGTGATAAGGTGACGAAAGTGACTTTCGGTCTTCACTAAGCGAGGAAAATCTGGAAATACTCAAGAAATTGTCAAATATCATGTGAGTTCTTTTAAAGAGCCGGAAAAGTCGACTTAAATTTAACAATTTTAGGAAACGTGCGTTCAGTAAGTAAGTAAACACTCACTATTGATATCAGCTGAGAAACCTGTTTATCTTCTGCGCGCTGCGTAGAAAGCAAATAACGCCCAAACAAAGACTTCTTTGTTCTTGCTTTTGTCAATTTAGATGCAATCCCAATCTCACAGGCTTATAAAATGGCGGGCATGAGCTGTGCTAGCCATATTGCTTTGTGAATCAGCAGAGACAGTGTTCAAAATGATTTCTCTAATACTGGTCCTGTTTCTTGGAGCTACCGTCGCGTTGGCCGAGATACATGTGCAAAATGATCCACACCATAAAGCGCCTCACCCAATCTTGGTAAGCTTAAATAGTTTGCTTTATATACATATGTTTCGTCCCCAACTTGCAGCAATCTTAAGGAAAATTGTCTTATTAAAAGTGTGAGTTACCAACTTCTTTTCTTGAAATTTTCTATGAAGATTTCAGTGGTCTCATTGAATTTATCGATGGTTGATAGTCTTTTAAAGGAGCCTTAAGCCTTGGAACGTTTTCCGAGATGTTTCTAAAATCGTCCAATTTAATTCTGCAAGACAGCTTTGCAAATTATCCTGTTAATCAAGAAGTTTGGTGATTTTCTAATGTTCAGTTAATATTCAGTTTGGGACATAATCTCAGTCTAATCAGACAGATTAGTCTGGAGATCAAGATGGAAACTAAGCTTATGAAAATAATGAGGGTTACACCATTATTCATCATTTTGCAGAAAGAGTGCATGGAAGAATGCGGCGTCAATCCAACAAAGCCGGGCGAACTAGCTGACGAGGAAAACGATCCTCACCATCATCATCATCATCGTCCTTCTTTACCGCCTGCCGTGGTAATCTCAGCTTGCTTCATAACTATTTAATGCCTTTACTCGTTCGCCCCAAATGAGCCGATGAAGAAGAGGGGAAGCCCATATGAAAAGATCGGAAATGCTCGTCGTCTCGCTTTGGGATTTATATCAAGAATTTTGGTCTCGCTTAGGGTGTTCAGGAACAAAAGCTACCATTCCAGCTGTCAAGTTATCGTTTAGAGTTGCTCGTTTTTAAAATGGTATATTTCAGAGGTCAAATTAAATCTCGAGCCACGTCCAAATTGACTTAAATTTGCGGACGAGCATCCCTGACCTTTTTACATGGAAGCCTTTCCCTCTCCCTGAACCAAATCGTTTTATGTTGTAAAGTTAGAAAAATTTTTAAGCTAGCGATTGGTTGTCTTTGCCGATTTCAAGGAGTGTTTCAATGTTGCCAAATGAATTGAATTGTCTTGGAAACTTTTAACGATGTTCGTTTTAATTTTGCTCGTTTACAATCCGCCAGAATGCAAGCCAATTAACTTATGAATGTAGTATGGCTAATATCCCAAATCTAAAACCCGACAGATTCATCCAAGCATAAAGATAAAAGCTAGGTTCGTGAAAATAATGAGGATTCATTAATTTTATGCTTTCTCCTGTAGAGAATGTGTATCAAAGAGTGTCTCGAAGAGCATAAGCCATCAAAACTGCCAACAGAGCCGGACAAGGAAAACGATCCACGCCGTCCTCGTCCAAGCGGTGTAAGTCCTCGTCCTCCTCGTCCAAGCGGTGTAAGTCCTCGTCCTCGTCCTCGTCCCCCTCGGCATATCCTGGTAAGCCTAGTGCGCTTCGTAACTATCTAATAATTATATTATTTATACAACCCAAATCGGTGCATTTTGCAGTCGTAATAAAGAAATCCGCATGCGAACAATGCAACGTTTAACATTTAACTGTTATAATTTAATTATTAGACGGAGCTGATCAAAATAGTTGATCTGCGAGACACTGAGAAATCCCGATATTTTGCAATAACCGCTTTCCTGCGATCACCACGTTTGTTTTCATATTTAAAACACTCTTTGATAGTTCAGGGAAGGGATCTAACAGATTTTGCCTTCTTTACACAACCGAACTCACTCAAAGTTTGAGGCATGGGCGCGTTGGTCAGCCCGGCCCAAGATATGTTTTAATTGTGACAATAAACTTACAATAAAGTGGACAAGTGATACATCAAATAACATCCTACATGTGCCAAAGCCGGACAAGTAAACCCCAAAAACCTCATATTAAGAAAATAAGGAACCGTGTACCCCCGACCAAATGCGGTGGCACCACCTTTGGGGTTTTAAGGTTGATATATAAACAACAGAATGAAAGATAAATCAGATACCGTTATTTATTGCTGTGGAGAGAGCATAGCGGGCGAGCAGCAACATAATCAGGATTTAAGAATAATATATAAAAGGGGGTACGAATATTCGAATTCATCACCTTTTACCAGAATGCATAGCATTTAACCAGAGTGCACTGCGCCACTTTTTACCAGAGTGCGTTGCGCCACGAACAACACGAGGACGTCGAGCCGTCGTCCTTTTCGCGTGGATTCCAGTCAGAAAGATTAGTAGTTATGGTTTACTCTGATTTACCTGTAAAACGATGTGAAGGACATTGTGCCTGACTTTCAGAACTCTTTCTTTTGTTCTTAATGCAGCATGTGAAAGTTTGTTAATCTGGACGATTAATTTCAAACTTAATATGTCATTTCTTAGCTGTCTCGCCTCCTCGGCTGAATTCTTAAATGAAGAGAAATCGTCGCTATTAAAGCTTGTAGAATAATTAAAACAAACGAAAACCGTAGAAGACGCTAATTTCATATATGGTGCAATCTATTCCTTTTCATCCAAACATGAATTTAAGCTAAAGCTTTAGCATTTTCACACATCACGATGGACGCGTCCTCGACACAGTCTGTCAACATT